TGCTCCCTCACTTAGAGCATTTGCATGTAATGTAACGTTACAGAGTCAAGCATCTGAATTTGAGGAACCTGAAATGGCATTAAGTTTTAGGCAAATGCTCGTTAAGTCAGGCAGTTCGTTCTTTCGTTCCAGTCAAATCACGTCGACGGCTGGACAAAGGTCTCCCCCAAGGATTTCCAGTCCTGCGCTACCCGCATTCAGGTATTTCCCGTGACTCTCACCAGACCGTCAGCTCACCTAGTGGGAGGCTCACACTACGTCTTCCGGTCCATGGTCGCCACTCGATAACTTTTCTGTCCCAACCCCAACGGCCATCAGTTGTACGAGCTAATGTGCTCCGCCTACTGTCTTTGGCAATTTTGCTGGCTATGTCGGTTTTCCTGCGGCTCTTTGGGAGGCAGTATTGTAATATGATTAAAACCAAATCTAGAATTTTACATTACAGACGAATGCTCCAGATGAGGAAGCACCTTAAAACAACAGTTAGGGGTTAGATTACGTCGTTACGAGTACCGAAGCGTGCACGATAATGATCGACGACGATTGAGGTTAACGTAGCGTAATTCGTGTCATTTCAATGTGACGTTTGTAACTTTGTAGATCGTGTCAATAATAGGCGGAACTTTCTTATGCGAGTTTGAATTGGCGTAAAACAATTTTACTGTTAGACAGGAAATTATGTAAGCAAATGTAATATGGCAGATATCAGAGAAATTGAATGTTTCATGTCTGCAATGGTGCTAAAATAGGAGCAATTTTTTCTATCCATATTCCATTTTAAAGAAACTAAAATATGAAAGTAATGAACACTTAAACTTATTTAAAATTAAAAATGGGAAAAAATAATTATAGGTAGGTGTTTAATGCCAAATTAAATAATTACACTGCATAGAAAGATGCAGGAGCAGTGGGTCTCTACTAGTAGTCACCAGTAAAGATTTCCCCTAATGACTTTAACTTGATAGGTATTACAACTTAGATTCATTTCATCTACTGAGGTAATTTGACATTCGGTTCGTAGGCTTATGTCATAAATATCGTGTGAGTCCAGAATAGCCCTCCGAAACTAAGTCTTGATTGTCACGCAAGGCAGTCACGAATCGAAACTTGCCCCATTCTTGGCAATGAAAATCGAAAATGTACGCAATGTTAACGATTGTTACTGTTTTATGTAATACCTATAACATATGAGCGAATTATGTAACGGTTGGTTTGCTTTTCTTTAGTTATTTATAGAATTTTATTAGGTAACTCGGTATGAAAGTAGGAACAGTCCACAGCACATCACACTTATCATTGTGATAGGAAAATCGCCCCTATTAAAACTTCATAAAATGCTATAGCATTTCGCTTGATATGCCGTCGTCTGTAACAAGGTACCTACATCCAGCACTATTCGAACCTCAAGAACATTGTGCATCTTAGGCCCAGTTTTTTGATTCATAGTTAAAATAACAAATTGTTAAATTTTGCTACTAATGGTTAAATATTAACAAAATGTTAACTCATAGTTAAAAAATGTACTAAAAGTCTAGCTAACCATTGTTCGAAATACATTTTTCTCTGATATTTAACCACTTGTCATTTGACATCTGTCAAACTTGACCATTGGTTATTTTAACTACGAATCAAAAAACCGGGCCTTAGTTAACGCACGGGTTAACGGGACTATTCCCATCTCTCGTTCCCTCCGCTGCAACTCCTGTGTAGCCAGGATCTACAGCTTGACCGCCAATAAAAACCCAACCAGTGAAGGTCAAGTTTGTCCCGGGGGAAAGTTAGACTGTCATTAGACCAAAATCAGAAGAATATAGGAGGAGTTCGAAGTTAAGGTTCGACTTCCCTCCCATCCTTCCTCCATCAATAGTTTGTAAAAGGTGTGATTTACCAACAAGAATGTACAGCCTGAAGTGCTAAAAAAGTTTACATTAATTTTGTACACAATGAAAGCCTTTGTGTATAATAATAACGCTTTTACAATAACATACCATAATGGGGTTAGTAAAAACTTTATTACGCCATAACTAACCGTGATAATATCATTAATCTATTGTGAACTGTAATACAACAACCACAATGGATAACGCTACAAAATAGAGCAATACAATATACACTCGCAAAGTACCGTTTAGGTATTTGTAGGCAATGTGTAAACGGACCTAGGATTGTGTACACATAAAGCTAGGCTATAGCGAAATTAGCGAATGGACAGGAAGGAACAAAAACTATGATCCTGAATCTAATACTTCCCCCGGGACAAACTTGACCTTCACTGGTTGGGATTTTATTGGCGGTCAAGCTGTAGATCCTGGCTACACAGGAGTTGCAGCGGTGGAAACGAGAGGTAGGAATAGTCCCTTAATATGTACTTTTTTTTTTACAGTGTTTAAGTTTGCTGCAGTTTGCACCACAAATACCACCTAGACTTACTCAGTGTCAAATAACTTGCTATATCTATTACACTATAATGACAAAACCAATGTGCCCTAGCTTAATAAATGCCAGAAAGACGAAGAGAGAAATAATAAAAATAAAACACATTTTTGAAGAATGGCAACACAGGCAGCCCTATCCGCTGGCTGGGACAGAGAAGACGTCACTAATTAGAGCGGGACAGGTGCTTGACCTGCATTGTGCGAGCATAGAGAAACCGCGCGCGTGCGAACCCTTTTTACCCGGCCATAGACAAAAGCGCGCGAAAATACGGCCACAGAGTATGTAATTACGGAGTCCGCGCGCAAAAAGATAGCATGAATCGATAAAGTTAATCGATTGTGACAGTTTTATAGCTTTTATTGAATTGATAGTTGCATTATACGAGTAAGTGGTTTAATACCTAATGAAGTGTAATCTTAATTTTGAGTGAAGAAAATCGACTTTCTTTTTAATTATAAATGTGTTTGATTGTCAGTAGGTATGTTGTTAGTTGCCAAATACCTAATTAATACTAGAACTGTAAATAATTTATTAAAACGGGACTATTCCCACCTCTCGTTCCACTGCACCCACTGCGACTCCTGTGCAGCCAGGATCTACAGCTTGACCGCCACAAAAACCCAACCAATGAAAGTCAAGTTTGTCCCGGGGGAAAGTTAAACTGTCATTGGACCCGCAACGAAATTAATCAGAAGAACATAGGAGGAGTTCGAAATTAAGGTTCGACTTCCCTCGAAATAAATTATAGGGTACAGTTGCACCTAAGTATTACGCCAGTGTTTATTCGTATCTACATAAAATTCATTTTCAATTTGATGTTAACCGAACCGACTAACGAAGCCAAACTAGAACACTTGATGCATTGCACCTCGTAATTAAATTAATTGATCTATCACCTTAATAGGACCGAGAAAGGGAATTAACAGTAATAACAAGAGTGAGGACTAGCTAACTCCTAATTTCAGAGTTTCATTTTAAATAAGACAAATAATAGGCTAGGTTCATGAGATTAAGATCTTTGAAATACTTACAACGTAAATCTGTGAGAAAAAAAATCTTAAATTCAACTTCAGTGTGCTTACTATGAGATTCACTAGTGACTACGTAAAATAATTACAATAAATGAATGACAAATTGTACAGCGCCCCTAGCGGCTACTTTCAAGAACTAAAATCTTCATAGATTTTATGACACAGTCGCTAGTGAGCACACCTAACGTAAACTCATGGTAAGCACACAGAGGTCGTACTTTGGAGTTTGGATTACCAGCTTTTTAAATTGGTAATCTAAAGTTCTAAACTCAAAACTCAGTGTGCTTACCATGAGTTTACGTTAGGTGTGTTCGCTAGCGACTGCGTAAAAAAATGACATTTAATTGTATGACATATTGTGCAGCGTAGAGGTGGGCGCCACGCCGGCGCGCCGCCGCCGCCGCGAATTTTTTCACGCCGCCGCCGCCGACGACCAGCTGTCGGCGCGCCGATACTGATACTGTACAAACTATTTGCAATTTATTCCTCTCCTATACTGTACTAATTTGTGTTTTAAACGCAGAAGAACTATATTTTTATTGAGTTGAGTGGCTATTTTAGTTCAATAAAGTCCTAGTATCACTGCGACCGGTACCGATCTATTGTGATCGTCGCTATTTTGCTTACAGTTCGCCTCCGAGTCCTGCATCCATTAGGAATTGCAGTATCTTTTGGGGGGCAATATGTTTTACATCTTGTGGGCTTAGGATGTGTTTGCCCAGGTGTAAGCTCCGCTTGCGCATCAAAGGTCAGCAGTCCGTGAGAATGTGTAGTGGCGGTTCATCTGCCTCTTGGCACATCCTGCACGTTCTTGATTCGGACAGTCCGATAAAAAAAAACCGGTCACATAGCAACTGTGATAGCAACTGTTGAGCGTTACGTAATGGAAGCCAAGCAGGTTGCTGGTTTTGTAGTTGCAGTGTGGGTAGGTTAAGAATAAAACTACACTTGAATTTGAAAAAATATAGCATTTGAGCGGTTTGTTATTATTTTATTTTAACTTCATTATTTTCTGTACCTAGTTTCATTTAATACATAAATGAAACGAGCTTGTCTGTTGCGTGCACTTGCTGCTTATTTATTATAAAGTGTATTCTGTATTTTTCTTATAAGTGAATATAATTGTATTCTTTTAGAAAAATAAATATCTAAAACCATAAAACCATAAATACTCATCAAGGTAATAAATTAAATGGTACGTCATAAAACTATAAAAACTATTTTTAATTACATAAAGGTATAATAATAAATGAATGCTTATTCTGTTCAATTAAACTGTAACCTTTTTTAAATTGGTTATAGGTACTTGCAAACGACTATTTAAAATTTAGCACTGTGATGTGTATTATCCAGAAATGTACTATGTTTCACCATTTATGTACTTATCTCTAAGCGAAGTTCCTAACAGGAACTTAACAATTACCAAAATCAGAATCTTATTTGCTACATAAAGCTAGTTAGCGACCGGAACTATCAGGAAGCCTTAGCATTTCGCGTTATCCAGAAGTTGTAGATGTTGAATGTTCTATACAGGTTACCTGATCTCTTGCGCAAGCAGCAGCGTCAGCATGGCGGCGTCGGTGGGCCCGCCCATCATCATACCGTTCATGTTGTTCGGCGGTTTCTTCCTCAACTCTGGGTGAGCTGACCTTTTTAATGCTTCAACCACACCAACGCGTGCAGATCGCCATCGCCGGCGCGATCATAGGCCAATGACAGGTCGCGCGGACTATCATGGGTCGCGCGCGGCCTGTCATGTGTCGCGCGGACTGTCATGGGTCGCGCGACCTGTCTTTGGCCTATGATCGCGCCGGCGCCTATGGCGATCTGCACGCGTTGGTGTGGTTGAAGCTTAACTGCACTAATTTATCATACAAACTTTATTAAGGGACGTAACTTCACAGGCCTTCGCTAGTTAGGATTTTGTTGGCGGTCCAGCTGTCATTCCATACACAGGAGTTGCAGCAGCGGTAGAAACGAGATTAATAGTCCTGAAACTTTACAAAAGCACAGCATCATACAAAACGTTGACAAAACCACTGGTTTGTCAACAATGCCACATCAATCCTCTTCAATTTGGAATCCTCTCAAGGAACTATTATTAAATTAGATATCTGGCTTACGCAGATGCAATGTAATAAACAAGTTTTTATGTACATAAGTTTCTTCCCAAATATCGTTGAATACCTAATTTATTGCTGTTTTTAGTGATCTTATCTTTATTGGTTTCTAATCTACATAGTGTGCAAGCGGGTCCAATTACGCTTTTAACTTTTCCTACGAAAAAACTTGGCTCGTGTAGCCAGAATCTATCTGAAGATTATTGATTAGAAAACGAGAGATGGGAATAGAAGAATAACACCCGTATTCACAAACGATATTTGTTTAAGTGAAGCAGCAAATCTAACACACAACGTTGAATAGAGCTCTGTGATTGGTTCGTGTGTGACCCTGTACGTCCACGCTCACTGTGAGACCTCATAGCAATGTTTGTGAATACGGGCGTAAGAAAAAGTAACGCCCGTATTCACAAACGGTGCTTGCTTAAGTGAAGCAGCCAATCGAACGCACAGCGTTGAAAAGAGCTCTGTGATTGGTTCGTGCGTCACCCTGTGCGTTTACGCGCACTGTGAGACCTCATAGTAATGTTTGTGAATACGAGCATAAAAGTAAGAGAGTGTAACTACCCGTTCGCGCTAAGTTTGCCGGTCCGTGGATTGCGCGTCCCCTCCCCCAACCGCAATTAAACGCAATTAGTTAGTGATTAAACGCAATTAATGTGTCTTATTTTACGCAAAACACAATTTTTATCAATAACTAGCTTCCCCCCGCGGCTTCGCCCGCGTGGAATTTCGTTTGTTAAATTTTCCTGAATTTTCTTTGCTATAAACCTCACGGAGGCCGAGACCTTTCCAACGAAAGCAAAACCGTGGAAATCGGTTCGTGCGTTCTGGAGTTATAGCGTCAGGAAGGAAAACCCGACTTATTTTTATTAGTGATGAAACGGATAGTTGTTTGGCCGGATACCGGATACCGGATATCCGGCCAGCTGCTAGCCGGATAGCCGGATATCCGGCGGCCGGATAGTTGGCCCATTGTCTCGTTGCATGACGTGTCGAGTTTAGTGCCGCACAGGGTGCTTCGAATGCGATCAGTGGGTCTAGTAGACTAGACAAGTCACACTTTTCGAAAATCGAATCCGTCCGAATAGAATGTCAGATTTTGCCACTTGTCTAGGGGGCAGATTAATTCGGGCGATTTCTGTTGCCATCGTGAGTGTGTGATTGAATAGCGAAAATTAAATTAGTTTACTTGCTGCGTAATCTGACTGAACTGCATCATCATGTCATCAGACCAATAAGTGAAAAAAAGTATTTACTATAATGTATTCGTCATTAGAGTGAATAGCCCAGAAAAAGACATTTTGAAAGGCCTTAATATGGTTCTTTTGTAACTTTTTGGACCTTAAATAAAAGCCGTCATTATTATTTATATTTATTACCTCAAAGATTAATGTATTTCATTTTATTATAGGAAATTGTCATAGTTTTTTAATATCCGGTATCCGGCCGGATAGTGAGCTACTATCCGGTATCCGGCCGGATAGTAAATTGAGGCCGGATATCCGGCCTACCGGATAGTTGCCGGATATCCGTTTCATCTCTAATTTTTATATAGTAGATAATAAATAAAACATATTTTAAATATAGTTTGATAAAGTTATAGACGATTCCCTTCGAGTGACGTCATATCGCCAGCGGCAAACTTAAAGCGAACGGATAGTAGGAGTGAACACTGGGTCAAAAATGTGGTAAATAAAGTTCTAAATTACTATTTTGCTCTCTACCAGGTCTGTTCCTCCTTATCTCGGCTGGATATCATACCTATCCTGGTTCCGGTACGGCAACGAAGCGCTGCTGGTCAACCAGTGGTCAGGCGTGGAGACCATCGCTTGCACCAGGGAAAATTTCACGTGCCCTGCATCAGGGCAGGTCGTGTTGGAGACGCTTAGCTTCTCTGAGGTAAGTCATAGAATAAAGTTTTGTATTTCAATGACAAGGTGATTCCAAACTTTCAGTTAGCATGGCATGTAATGATGTAATACCGCAACGAATAATAAAATACTTTTCTTGAATGGTGACTGTTGAACATGACGTATTTTTTGGTCGCTAATAGTAATGAATATGTGTATTAATATTAAGTTATATTATAACTTAAATGTATTCTTTATTAATACATTAAATAAAATATGTAGTTATTGTGCGTGCAATTAATAAAGACTGTCGTCTTTTCAGTTCATTTATACGAATAGACACTGAACTTTGATGGCCTATTTTTATAGTATTAGAATAACTTTAGTCAAATAATCATTTAGTCTCTTCCACTACAGCAGCACGCCTTCTCTAACTTACCAGAGGCAAAAGTAAAGAGATAAAGAGTCAATATACAGAACCCATGATGTACGACTAACATATTTCTTAGAATATTGTTACTAACTCTACTAATATGTATAGTCTCTTAAGTTCAAATTGTTACTAACCAAACTATGGACTGCTTTTGTCTGAAAATTAATGATTTTTATTTTATTTTATTTATTTAAAAGGGTTACAATTAAATAGTACTTTCAATTACTTATAAATAAAAGTCTTGTACCGTTTGTTTGTGTGCAATAAAGATTTTAAATAAAACAAATAAACATAATTTGCATTGTCTCAATGTATTTATCTTTGTCCTCAGGATGACTTCAAAATGGACGTCATCAACATGGTGCTGCTCTTCATCGGGTTCCGACTGCTGGCATACATCGCGCTTCTGATGCGCGCGCGCCGGGCCAAGTAATGATTTGTTTATAATAAGCCTAAATAATATTTAAAGGATAATTTGTGGACTTTTAACAATATATGAAAAGTTATTAAAGGAGATTTTGTGAACTTTTAAATAGAAACAAAAGAAGACGGTTCAATCTGCAAATATAATAAATTGAAGGCGTGGCGTACGTAGGTAGATGACGTTTGAAGTGTTTTGAATTTTTTATAATACCTACATTTATGTGAAATACATATTTGGTAATTTTACGCTGAAACGTTGCTGATATAATGCTATAATATAAATACAGTAATAAATATTATAGCCATGTTATTTTTTTTTGTTTTATATCATTTATTTTATGATGTGTTCATTTTATATTTTATCAAACCATAGTAATTATTATTTACCATATTATTTACTTAGTACAAGATTTGTGCCTCTATTTTTAAAGAATGTATTACAAATAAGTAGTTTAAGTGTTATATTAATAAATGAATTTCTACTGAATGATTTTATATTGCAGTTTTAATTAATGTAGCAAGATAAACATTTAAAACCTTATCAAAGTTCAGGAAAAACAAAAACAGGTTGTAGATGAAATACGTATTTTTTTATTCATATTAACATTTTAGGTCATGTAAGATTAAGAAATACACATTCCTTTCCCGTCTTCTATAATGTCTCTCCTTTTCCATAAAGATCCTGTTGTATATAATTGTATAGCCAAGTTTATAACTGTAAATAATATAAAGCTTTGATTTTTGTATAAACGTATGTATATTATATAAATATCTCCTGTATATTCCTCATTTTCCTGATCATTAATTCCTTTCCAAATTCCGAAAGTAGGCATTTTTCCTTTTAATTCCCGTTTCCCCGTTTTTAACTCGACACTGGCAAGAGGCATAGCATAGCCATAATAAAAAAATAAAAAAAAAGATTAAGAAACAATGTTAAATAAATTTTTTCCTACTTGTATAAGTCAAGTAAGTCAAGTGTATTAGTCAATATTTGTGATTTGCGAGAAGTAAATAAGTACATATACAAAATAGGTATTTTTGTCTGTTGATTGTTTGATAATTGTCTTGCTTTTATTCAGTGTTCAAAATTTACTTTAGTTGACTTTCACTGACAATGCGATAAGATTACTATAAAAAATCTTACAAATGACTTGTTTTTGTGCCCGTACCTGTAACATTGATTCAGTCAGTGGGTAATCGTCCGATAAACTTGTCTAACATTAAAATAATTGTTTTATTGTCAATAAAAAAAATGTAACCTGTATTTTATAGCATTATTATCCATGAGGTCAAACTACAATCTATATTTATGACCTTTATTAAAGAATTCTATTTAATCTTTTGTTTATGTGCCATCATTTACATAAAACATGGTCAAGTCTCATTAAATAATTCCTGAGATTTTTAAATATAGACCTCATAAATAAGTTTATGAGTTAGTAACTTAAAAATAACTTGGACGAATTCCAATAAAATACCATTGCGATAACTTAAAGAAAATTACAATCAAACAGTCACACAGATTTTTCCGAAAAGTTTCCTTATTGAAATCCTTTTTCCTTCGATTTGAAAATAAATGCTTATAGGTAACTAATTTCTTTGCATACATTCTGAATTAGTCTGGAAAAAGAAAAAGAAAATTGCACTCAACAATGAAAGTTTCCTGAAAATTTTTCTTCTAAAATCAATATTTTGTCCTTTTCCCTCTTATAGCAAGAATGAGACAGTCAGCAGTCGTGCTCGTTGACCCGACTTTACGCGGTGTAGTATGTAATATCCACACGTGGCGCTCATAGTGACATAGGGTTGGCACAAGTGGAGTCACTTGGGCTCAAACTAAATAAAAGCATAATGGGCACAGTTGCAAATACCCTCGGCTGCTATCCTATTGTCGGTCATATCTTCTCGTTCGACTTGTTCTATCGCAAAGAATTTACGGGAATCTTGTAGGTTACCTATCCTACTTGTATTAAGTATTAAGATGTCAGTCACTGCAATTTTCCCATGTTTTTATAAAAATCGTGTATCAAATTATTAAAACATGAAATTAATTATCGTGGCCTCGAAGTAATTTTTGTATTGTCTTCTGGACATGAACGCGATACAGTCCAAGTCCTAGACGCTTTATAGCTAATTTAGGTATTTGTATGCTATTTCTACTGGTGTCCCATTAATTTATCACGTCATCACACTGACATCAGATGTAGATGAGCCTAAGACATATCCAACAGAGTTGTGCTAATTTTGGGACACCTGTATGTATTGGTGACAAAAGTTAAAATTCAAAAAGCGACTCCAAAACACTGCAGCCCTACTGCCCACCGAAGCCTCGCAACACAGCCGTCACATCGCTTCCCGTTCACGCCGATCGCGCCGGCCTATTTGTGCTTATGAGATTACGCTCCGAAACTCGGAGGATTATTGACAGTTGATAGTACACCACAAAACTAGCGCCCATATTCACAAACATTACTATGAGGTCTCACAGTGCGCGTGGACGCACAGGGTGACATGAACCAATCACAGAGCCCTATTCAACGCTGTACGTTCGATTTGCTGCTTCACATAAGCAAGGATCGTTTGTGAATACGGGCGTAAGTGAGGTAACAGAGGTATTAATTAGTGAAACGAAGGTCTAGGGCAGGCTGTTGGCCGATTATGGTGACGTAAGGAAAGCCTCAGGATTACTGGATAGTGGATACTAAGTTGATAGATAAAAACAAACCTAGTAGGCTTTCTAGCTCAAGACTGAATGTGAATGAATTTCTGACATCAGGTAACTCAGTAAGTAGTTGGCCTAGGATTCGCGCTACGATAAACTTTTATGGAGGCTTATCGATTTTACCTACTTGATAAGCCCATACATTTGTCATCTAAAGTCATCGATAAGATTTTATCACGGCTAGCATCCTACCTAGTCCGGCGGGGTAACTGCACGATAGAAGAAGAATTAAGACAAAATTCGTAGATTCCTTCTCTTTCTACGGCAATGCTTAGGATAAGTAATTAAGACTTTATTAATGAAAATTTAAAAGTGATTCACTAATTGATTTTCTGAGTGACGAAAAACACCACGTAACTTTGACCTGTAGTAACTGATAAAAATCTTGGTTTCTATATTGCCTCACATTGCGCAACGTGTCTTCGTTGCGGTAGGAATCCAAGGCTTCTCATGATAAAAACACCAACCTACATAATTAGCATAAAAACTTTTAGAGTATTTTAGGAAGACCGGTTTCTGATGTCGGTTTATATTCGGTTCTAAAACTATTACCAAAGCGATTAAACCGTTTTCTGTCATTCAAAAGTTATGTTACCAAATATTTTGTCAATTTTCAAAGGGTGTTGAACTCTACTTTTTAGGCAATAAAATATACCAAATATCTAAGTACAAAATACAGTAAGATTTGAGTTGACAGCCTATACACACTACAGGTTGCAGATCAAGAGCTAGTTTAGCTTAATCTAAAGAGCTGACGCAGTTACCCACAGTGTTTGTATACTTTGCAGTTAGCACACCACACACAACTATGGAAAACTGAAAAAACAGCAGGCAAACTTTACATGTTTCATAATCTTGGCACCGACTCCAGAAGTATCAATCATGGTATACCTACATAAATATCAATAATTCGTCCTAATAAATAAGTAGGTAATTAGTAATTATTTTTCTACTTTTCAACCGACTTCAAAAAAGGAGGAGGTTCTCAATTCGACCCGTATGTTTTTTTTAGTGTAGGTTTTTTGGAGTCGGTTTTATTTTTTTTAATAAAATTTTACTTATTTCTTGATTTTTAGTTAACTAATTATTACCTTGATGTTACCACTGAAGGTAGGCAGTACATTGAGACCATATTCTTCATGTCTAGTGTAAAATAATATTCCCTACAAAATACAGGTTACCATATAGGAAACCTAAAAAGACCTTAAACGGTTAGCCCACCTTAAAAACATGAAAGAATACAACTGTTGGTCTATTTGTACTTATAATATTTAAAGAATTAACCTACAACTCCTAAGCATTAAGGAGTTGTACCTACCATGACTAGTTTGTCAAATTCGCATGAGACCACCCTTTTGATAATACCTATTCAACAAAAAAATAATCGTTCAAATTGGTTTATAATCGGCGGAGATATTGCGTATAAAAAAGTTTATCCCCAATTTTCCACCCTTGGGGGTTGTTTGATTTATTATTAAATTTAAATGGGACCACCCTTGAGGTATTGTATGACCTAACCTATACGCCGAAAAAAGACTTGTTCAAATTGGCGGAGTTATCGCGTAACAAACATAGAAAAAAAAAACATACGGGTCGAATTGAGAACCTCCTCCTTTTTTGAAGTCGGTTGATAAACTAAACTAAGCTTACCTCTTGCTCTACCATCCTAAAAGAGTTGCAGATTTCAGACACTCTAAACTCAACTAAAAATTTATTTTTGTTAGATTATTGTCCTAATTAATTGTGAAACGATGGACACGGTGCACGCTGTCTTCAGATATCGGAGCGAATATTACCTTCTACCGCACCGTACTCGCATAATGCCCTTTAAATTCGTACCCAAGTAAAGGAAAACGTACTTAAAGTACTTTTGTTGGAAAAATAGGTTAATATTGTTCCAAATTCCAATATATCACACGCTGTTTTGGTGCACAAGGAACGTGATCGCGAAACTAGAATAGTAGGTGTATTTGCAAATCAAAAAAACAATCAGTCATCTTGTAGAAATGAGGAAGGTTTTTAAGCTCAATAAACATAACTAAGCCGACTTGAAATGTATGCAAAATTATTCAAATAAACTATAATTTGATAAAAAATAGTGACTGTTTTATGATATAATTTGATATTTATTTCATAAATTATTATTCCAATCTATTTATAGTCTACACGGTGAGTAGGAGTTGGTGCATAGTACCAAAGGTTATGGTTATTCGTGGCTCTTTTGTTTTTTTTTTTAACTTAGATCACCTGTTATTAAGAGGCTGTCACATTAAAACACGGTAAAAAGATACACTGTCTAAAAGTAGTTACAGTAAAAAAATACAATAGGCTAGTATACATTCCGTTATAACAATTCAGTAAAGTTTCATCAAAATCCGTTCAGTAGCGTGCGTGAAAGAGTAACAAACATGTTAACATCCAGACATCTAAACATCAATACAAACTTTAGTAGATCCATACAAATATTAGTAG